GGCAATGGCAAACCACTTCTGGATCATCTGCCAAGAACGTACGTATATGAACAGGTCCCAGTCCGAGAAAAGGATGGAAGGATCCTGTTCATATGGACCTGTCGTCAGACAGAACACTAAATAATAATAATAATAATAAATTAGACAATAAAAAGTCGATTATAAACCGAGAGGAAAACCGACTAAAAATATGAACATCAATTTGCGTTAACACAGAATGCAGTTCATGAAGAAATGACCAACATATCTGTGTGTTTGCTTAACGACGTTTCGTTCCTTTTACGCGCATATTTCCATTGTTCTTAAACCATGTAGGTTCTTTTGTTACGACGAAATACCAAAGTTTCACACACAAGTAAAAATGATACGGTATCAGACAAGAAACGAGATCTGTGATTCTGATCTGAACGATCGTGTGCGTTCTGCAATCTCAATCCGATCTTCATTTATTCGTGAATATAATTCTGATTCCTTACTGTCGTTCATAAATGCCTCAAATTGTTTTCTGATATGACAACGTTGCAATGTGAAATAACATGATAACACAACGTAGCATTTTAATAGCTATTTAAAAATCGCATATTCATCGTTGTGTAGGAAATGATTCGAACAGAGTGGTCTTCAAAGCATCCAGCTTATATCAAAGTAGCGTCTGCTTTCCTACATGTTGTGTTCTCATCACTTACATGAGATTACAGCATTCTGAAAATGCCATCGCTTTTTAAAATCTGGTCCTGAAGCCAGACGATTTCCATGTAAGGAACATGTTCAACATTTATAAAGATTTCTGTGTTACGTTAACAAAAAATCTCACGGCCATCCAGATCGTTTCAAGTTTTATATCTTCCCGCGTTACAGTCAGGCGACTTCTCCGCACAGATCTCACAAATATGACAAAACTATACAAACTTCTTTTGAAATGCTAATGCACCTCATAAGATGGCAGTGCTCATCTTATTTTCTTCGAAAACTGATACAGAAAAGAGATCAGCATATGGTCCAATGAAGAGGAATTCCTCCTGCATGTACATATCTTGATCAGGGGTGAACAAAGGTCCAGCTCACTAACCAGACAAGAATATCTTAAAAGTACCTAACATCACTGCCTTTCCATAGTTTTAAAAAAAAATAACGATACTGGTAACTACCGATTGTACGTACGGACTGAACACACGTTCCTCCGAAACGTCGGTATCTAAAAATAAAATTGGATGCAACGCTACACCGCGTCATAACCCATAGGACAGAAATCCAATTTAGAAAATATTTGCACTAAAACGTCAGGAAGCTGTTCTAGTGCTATACTAGAAAGCTAACTACTGAACCAGGCGCGATTATGGATCGTCGTCACTGACGAAACGTCAGTGTCATGACAACTAATCGTCTGAAGGATTCCCGAAACTACGTGTAATTCAAATACACCCTAGACAATGCATAATGTCCAATAAAGTTGTTTTCTATAATGAGTCGACCACCGTCACAAACCTTCACGGAATCTCCGTCTTCTGTTACTCGTGCCTGCTCACGAGACGAGATAAATCTGTCTAGAAAGATTAAATTAAGAAACTGCTTTTATTCCGAGACCAGCCAAGAGTTGCAGGCACAAGACAGCTCAGTCCTCGTAACATTAAACTACAGTAGAACGTTACAGTAGCATGGCTCGAAGAACACTCGACGTTTCGACATAGAGCATAAACTTGCGTCGACGTGAAGGTATCGTTACCGTCTTCCTCCTCACATACAACTGTCAAGACTGCGGCCTGTTTAACTGTCTTCCCACGGCAACGCAGTTCTTGATCCATATCTTAAAAAAAACTACCTACAATTTCTTTGCTTTATTTTTGAGCAAAAGAATCACGAAAAATCTCTCTCAGACTTCTCATTCCTACACCGCATTTGGCAAAGAACTGCTGATTCCGTTCCGTTGATTCAGACTTTTCTAAGTAAATTGTTACTATAGTCACATTAAATCTGTTACTGTTCTCATAATTTAAGACAGCGACAACAGATGACAGAAGACCATTACATTTAACTTACAAAACGAAGGCATGCAAGAAACGAAACAGATTCCACTGTACAGTCACTTAATTAAAGTTTTATTCAAAAATGGGATAGAAATATTGATTCTAGTTCTCAGACAGGTGGCGTTTATAATGAAGAAGACGTGGACAATACCGCAGGCAGTCACTTTTAAAGCATACGCCCATAGTGACTGAGAAAACCTACTGAAACCTCAGAGGAAGAGACCGTTTGCAGGCTCAGAATCAAAGACAGCAACTCACGGAGTTAAAAAACTTTATTATTATTAGTGTTCTGTCTGACAACAGGTCCGTTTCCTCGGCAATTATGATTCAGAAGTGGTTTGCCATTTTATTTTGTGTTCTGTCTGACGACAGGTCCATATGACCAGGATCCTTCCATCCTTTTCTCGGACTGGGACTTGTTCATATACGTTCTTGGCAGATGATCCAGCAGTGGTTTGCCATTGCCTTCTTCTGTGTGTGAATGGGGTAATTGTTGGGATGCCACGGAGGAAAACTCCGTGTTGCCTAGACCACGGCCTTGCCCAACACAAGTTATAAATTCGGGCACCGCCGGGAATCGAACCCGGGACCCCAGTATTACAAGGCCAGCGTTCTAACCGCTAGACCACCGTGGCATCTTGTTCTACGCTGTACAGCATCTAGCGGATTGTACTCGTACCATATCTTCCATCCAACATCATTATAAAACACTAAGCACTGCAGGAGACCATTATTCTGTCTCCTTTAATGCGTTATTAACATCCGATGTAAAAAAAAAAACAATTTTTGGGACATCCTGTATAAGAAACAGGTGTGACTCCACTGCGAAATTCAGTGCTTGCATTGTGAATGGAGTTCTGTTTGCAGGTTCGCTATGTGAATTATGGGAAATTGTGTGTCTGGGATAGAAACGGCGAGGTCACACATGCAGAGAGATAAGCATACGACATGGGACTGAGACTCCTTTTTAGATAATTGTGGAAATCCCACGTTTATCCTCCAAATCGCTTCGGCAAGCCGGTTTCACAACTCAAAAACATTAATTCGAAACTAATCTGTGGCAAATCAGAGCAGCAATACAACTTAATAAACAAAAATAAATAAAATAT